CGCACTGAATGGTAAATGGTTTGTGTTTATATCACGCTTTTCTAGTCTTGGTGACCACGCTTCACAGTACAGTTTCACATTCACCCATTCACATTCACACGAACATTCATACAGTGCATCTATGTGCAGCACTTCTTCTATGAAGCTTTGAAAGCATATTTCTGAAGTCTGAATGAATTCATGCGTATTTTTTTTTGTTGCAGCCTCAGCACCTCTCCACTGACTCCGTGATTCAAGATATATATCATTCAAATGAGTTTGTCAATATAAAATGAAATAATTTGAAATGACACCATATGCAAATCAATCCAGCCGACGTTTGAATATAGCACTTTAACAGAAATTGATTGACAGAAGGAAAGCAATAAAAACGATATCAACACCCTCCATCCACTCAGCTGTGCACAGAGCAAAACAATATTAACAGGAAGTGAGGATACGCTATCGTAAATCAGAAAAAAAAAGATTGGAAATGAGGAAACAAAGGCAGGTCAATAATGACTGATAAAATGATGAAGATAAATATAAAATGAGAATTGGTTTTATTAGAGTCCCTCTGCCTGCAGGTCACCTTCCACCTTAATTCACATTTCACCAGCCAGGACCATTGTAAGAGAATTTCAGCTGGCACAAAAAATTCCTATGTTCATCTTAGAATAAGTGGAGAAATGATAGCATTAGTTTCTCCAAAGCAAACTTTGAACATACTGACTTAACATGAACACACATTTGTTTGGATTCAAGTTTAGTTAATCTAAGCTATAACGATGTGTGTATGATTTCCTTGATGAAGCATATAGTGATCTATTAAGATCCCTCAACTCTAAGTTTCAAATAACAAGAAATTATTGAATTCTGATTTGCAAGGTCAAATTTAATTTAATTGAAACCATGTTGAACAATAAATGCTGCATTAATCTTTTTCTAAGGCTCTTGCCAAGTGTTTTTTATACATTGTGTTCACATGAATACACAATCCTGACCTCTGTGACCCCCTGCAGAAACACACACACACTGTTGTATTCTGATTATTTACCTGTGATTCAAAGACACAGCACAAAACCATGTTGATTCGCAGTGACCCTCACCGCCTCCTTCTGAAGAGAGCTGTTAATATGAGAGGACCACAACCACCCTGAGACACACCCTTGCAGATTTAACACCTGGCTTCTATTCATTTCTGCTTTTCTCCTGCTATCATCAAGTGAGCCAAACTTGTTTTGACATCATTTGTTGGCGGCTTCTTAACCTGTTTCTCCTCATTAGTGTGCACCACTGGTGCATGCAGTTTAAAAATGATGGCCTCAATGTTTTTGGTTGTTTGAGGCTTTTAGTTTTAAATGAGTCATTCAGTTGTAAAGTCTGGTCTTCTGTGAATGTCTATCACTACAGGCCCTGTTACCTGTCACCACTTCTATGTATAGGGTTGTATTACACACAGTGGGCCCAAGTCAGATTACTTGACATGTTGATAACTGCACAGACATCTCAGATTCACGACAAATATATAAATCAGAAAGGCTATCAGTGAAAATGAATCTTTATCGCCATTTTTCTCTCTCCAAGATAACATCTCCTTCAAATTCAGCCTCATTTATTTGAACTCAAGATATCTACCTCCCCCTCAGGTTTTCATCTTTTTCTATTTAGTTTTTCTGTCTGTAAAAATAATCCACCGACTGCAAGGTTTGATACTGTGTGTGTGTGTGTGTGTGTGTGTGTGTGTGTGTGTGAGTGAGAGGTCCATTTTAAAGGTGTTTGTCCATGAAGATAGAAAAGATATAGGCAGGTGCAGTGAAGGCCCTTGAGGTGAATTTGTGATATTGTATTGACCAAAGCAGATTCAATGATGATATTTAACTGAGACAGTTTTCTCTCTCACTTAAATATAATATAATATATTATGTTAAGACCAGGCATCCGTTACATAACATTACATTACATATCATTTAGCTGACGCGTTTATCCAAAGCGGCTTCCAATCCAGTCTGTGTGCACGTTCTCAAAGTCAAGCTCTGAGCGCCCCCTAGTGTTGCTTGTGAAGACCGTGGATGGTGCCTGGTCACCATGGCAGCCTGAACATGCAGACTCAAACATGTACAGTAAAAGTCTGCCTTCCCTAGAGACGCACCGACGAAATATTCAAAAATACATGGTCCAGTGCAATAGCACCTCAGACTGCAGTCATACATAAGTAGATTTATCAAATTCCAAATCATCAGTAAAACATTTACGCACTTTTAGACTTGGTTTGCCATCTGACAGTAAATATGATGTGATGAGAGGAAGAATACGATAGAGGAGGCTGCAGTATAACGAATAATGCACATATAACATTTCCAGTGATATTCTTCCAGTAACTATTTTATTTTTATTTTACTTTTGCTCATTTTTCATTTCATTAGATTCATGTTGAAAGTGTTACACAGAGCCAGTGTGGAAAAAAAATCAGTTCTGTCCTAAATCAATTCTAACATGTCCTAAGTGGATTTTTCTATCTTTGTAACTGTTCCTCCATTTTGATAACGGCTGCAAAGAGATGACTTCCTCGTGCAGTTCCAATGTACGAGCTTGGAAACAAAACCCAGAGTATTTTTTTTCATTTGGGAGGTTTGGCAACCTGTGGAGTTTTCTGTCAGTTCAGCTGATTCCAGCATTTTTAGAGTCTTGAGCTTGGGCAATAAGGAAAACGGACAGAATGAGGAAGTCAGAACATATTGAGAAACCTTTAAAAGCATTGTCGGTTTTGTTCTTTACTGGCATTTGCAGAGAGAGCGTACAGATGTGGCACTTCTGGCCTATTTAAACAATGGATGTGAGCTGAAATATCCCAAAAACAAATGTGGGTCTTTGTCAAGAAAACAACAAATTGTACAATTTGGATGAAACACACTTGTGAAAACATCACTAGGATTACTTCATATTCAATTTCTGCCAACAGATGCTTCACTACCCATCACCCAAATCTTACACACTGGACTTTTAAGTAGCCCATGTAAATCGTGAATATTAACCAAATAGCACAAAGCTAATTTAGGCCACCTTTGGTACACGTTATCTTATTTGTGGCTCAGATCTCACAAACAGGAGTGGACCACCCAAGTGCCATTGTTCCCGGCAGTATGTGGGCCTAATCAAAACAAGTTTGCTATGTGGGTTGTCCTTTAACTACCAACACGTAATAGTAAATATGGAAAAGAATGGGTTCTCCTGTGTTTCTCAGCCTTATTTGACCAAGTAAAGCTTCGCTCTTCTTATCAGAGCAGAGCAAAACTGTCACACTCTTCACGGCGAGAGCCGGAACCCTCTCAGCCTCCTCCTCTCTCTTCATCCCTCTTGATCCTCCTCCTCCTCCTCCTCCACGGCTGCCTGCGTCACCTGAGGGGAATCACTCGGAGGATCAGCATAATCGCAATTCAAACACCACGTGTCATTTCCAGCTGCAGAGTGAAGAAGATCGCCGCTTCCCCCGCAAAGCTGCTGCTGCCAGTTCTCGTCACACTCTCATCACTCTGCTATTGGTTTAGAGTGTCTGAGCTAATTCTCTTTTTTACGCTGGGACTCCATAGGAAGACTTACTGCAACTTTTAGGAATGTTGCACCAGCTCTGTCACGATGCTGTTAACACACTTTATCTACAATATACATGAAACTTATGTGAGCACAGTCTTGTCTTTCACTACACCCTGTTTTATATGGTTTCTCTTTCCAGCTGTTTTTATACAAGACACTTATACAAGCATCATGAAGCGTACTGATCTGTACTGTGTAAACTGTACTTTTTATACACATTTATATGTGTATATACCTTTTTCCACCATATCATTTATTATATTTTGTATCCTTATTTTTGTGTTTTATAGTAGAAGACTAGCAAACATAAGAATTCCATGGCATGGGGCCTCATCCAAGAAAACAAGCTTTGAGAATATCGACTTACTGTAGAGTATTGTCAAACCAAAAGAGTTAGTAAGTTTAAACATATTTGTACCGAAGTGGGACATACAAAGCCACAATGATTGTGGATACCAACTTATTATGATTATTTGTAGTGGTAGTATGATTATAATAATTATTATTCAGCTATCAGGTCGTCCCAGATCAAACAATATTGACTCAAAATCTCTGAGCAGTGGTGGAGGAAGTACATTTAACTTAAAAAGTACACAAGTATTCCCAGGTTTACCTCAGAATATTTTTGTGAATTTAAAAGAAAATACAAAATTGCTTTTAGATACTTCAAGTATTAAAAATGTAAGTACTTGTCGATTGTAGTCCCGAATGCAAGAGTCTACTACATCATTACAGTCCCAGTGTTGTTTTTTTACCAGTAATTGCTGCTGCTGCTGCAGGCACACTTTGCTCTGAGGACCAATCCCCTCTCATTATTGATTCATATCAGAAATACTGTGTACATGTAACAGAATTAAATCAAATTAAACACTTGAGAAATTAAATGTGACCCTTAACACTGAAATTACGTAATAAAGGGACACAGAAATTCAACATGTGATTGAAATACAAAAAGTTAACGTTGAACAAATTATTATATTATTTTGTTGACACGCTCCGTTTCACGCAGCCCCCTTAGAACTTTTGTTCTGGAAGAAGGATCCTTACATGCAACTCTCTCTGACTCATGACTCTTGTTGAATGTCGAGTGGTTTTTCACAAGCAGCCACATAAAATCAACATTTCACTTCACACACATCACATCACTCTCAGTTTTCCTCAACAACCCTCCCATCACGTTCTTTTATTTCACTTCTCTTCTTTTGTATCTCAGGCACAATTTCAAACCACTGCTGGAACACGAGCTGGTGAAGGATGTTCTACTGGTAGACCCTTGATCCTGAACACAACTGCTGTCTTTGCAGTGTTCTAGTGTGAGACTGTAAAAATGATGGGGACCGACTCACAAAACTGCTGCAGGACAAACTAGTTATTCTCTCAACAGTAGATAATACACACACGTGTATATAAAGCAGTGGTAAACGATATTGTTAGACAAGCAGCAGACCAAAGGTAATTTTATTAATTCATAAAACATTTAAGGTTTTCAATTCATAGGGGAAATTAAACATTTATCAAAATAAGAAATGGTGACAGGAGTAACATGTTGTGAGTTCTTAAAAATCTCTCTGCTTTCACAAAGTCGCGTGATACCTCAGATGAACAGCAGGATGCTACGTAACACTTTGACACGTCCACTCCAAACCACAATCCAACACTTACAGCTCAGTGCCTGACAAGCCGGGCCTAACCTCGCCGAATGAAAACATGGCAGTGACAGCAAGTATCTCAAGCACACTCCACCCTAAAGGATGATGGAGCAGGACATCTGGAGGCTAAATGAACAGAACCCGGTGCGCTCCTCTTCACGTCGCTGCGTCGCACAAACTCCGGAAACACAGAAAACACGAGGGCGAGGGCTTCTGATGAATCCAACCTCAAAGACTCAGTTTAGCTGAATAAGTGTGTGTGTGTGTGTGTGTGTGTGTCCACCTGACCCAGCCTGCTTTGGTAGTCAGGACGGCAGCCATTGTGAATGTTGGTGAGGTTGGATGTGAAGGCTTCTGGACAGCAGCAGTGATTTCACTGCTAACGTCACCGCAGCTTCTCGCGTGAAGCGGCACCGGATCACTGCGCTGGCGCTTAGTCGTCATCTTTTCCTCCCGTTTTACTCAACTGCAACACAAAAGCAAAAAAAAAAGACGCTGTGTGTAACTCGGGTCTGTGTCAGTGATTTGCTTCAGTGCATTTTAACTGAGGTGGTTTTTACTCACATGCTGGTGGAAGATTGTTGCAATGACCAGGGAGAAAAAAAGAAATATCACGAGTCAGTTCTTTTGTTTTTAAAGTTGAGTATGAGCACCATCTAGTGGAGAAAAGCTAAGATTCACCTACTTTGATAACGTCTACCCAGTTCCAGCCTCTTGGCAGTTCTCCCTTGTGATCTATAAGCACAAAAATGCAAAGTGACCAAAACTTGTACAGCAGAGGAAAAAAATGAAGGTGCTAAGACAATTTCATGAAAGATTATTGGCTTAAAAACCAAGAGAAAGTTAAAGTAGGATTACAAATTAGCTTGAGATTTAATTCATGCTTCATAAGAAAAGGACGACGATCTCATATTGTGAACCAGGCAAGTATGTTTGACGTATAATTTAAGGAAATGTGGACAAAACCATGCACATATTGACACATTTGTATTTGTTGTGAAGTAAGTGTTGCTGCTTCTGAGTCTGTTCAGCTTTTGGCTCTGGTCTCAAATGTATCATCATGCTTGTCTCAGGTCAGCTCGCATCTCGTCCCTTGTCAGGTGGACTTAGGTTTTGCACAGAACCATTTAGGCAGGTAGTGTTTGTCGTTTTATATGGTCAGATGTACAATATATAAACATGACCAATATGATAACCGGTAAAAATCCAATATGAGGAACCGGCCTCTCTGAGGTACCTGTTTTGCTGATGATTCTTCTCTTCTGAGCTTTCGTCAGCTGCTCTTTCTTCTCCCTCTTCTTGGCTGTTGAGCTGGTGGTCATGATGTCACTGCTGGGCATCGTCTGCAACCACAAGAAACAACCGACGGCTATTTTCTTGAACCTTGAAGACCTTGGCTTTTGCTGAATCACATTTATTTATGCCTTTAAACCTTCCACAAAAGTAGGAACAACAGTTTTTTAAACTGTATATGAAAGGAAAGAGAGAATTTAGATTCAAGTATGCAGACGTCATAGTACAGGCCACGCAAGCTTTCTGAGGCAGAGCAGTCCACAAACATTTCAGTGATGGTCGTAAGACAGAAATACTGTACTGTACTTACAACAGCGGTCACTACAGGTTTATGGTTCTCCATGAGGGCCTCCTGGTTTTCCTTGGCCCAATCAAACAGGGTGTACATCATGGCAGTCCCCAGGTTCGCCTCTACCTGCTCCTCCAGCTTCGACAGGATCTGCTGCTTCGTCTCTGCAGAGCTGTGATTGAAGCCACGGTGGAAAGAAGAAAGCATTATGTTTGTCATACAGCAGCCGTGACCTCGTACTGAAAGCTATCTCTAAATAAGTCTTTCCTAACTTTTCAATGTTGAGAAATAACAAAAAAAAATCCAAATAACAAGAAGAAAATAAAAACTTTTAAATGGTCTGAATTTAAAGTGCTTTTCTGGTCTTGATGATCACTCTAAGCACGTTTCAGTACAGGTTAATGTGTGTCAATGGGTTTGAAGGTTGCATTGAAAAAAAAGAATCCAACACATTGTGGCTCTAGCTCCGACAGTTTGGAACCCTGTGATTGGAGTTTCCAGATTTTGCAGTCCCCAGTGCTTCAAATAGAAAGTACAGCACGACAGAGGAGGGACATCTCACAATACACCGTGCTTGCAACGTACATCCTGTTGTTGAAAAAGGCATCGAGGGAGATTTGTGGGGTTGTTTCTGGGTACGTCTCCGGCCATGAGATGTCCAGGATGAATGCTTTGGTGTCGTCAAGGTCTCCTATCTTTCATATAGAACACAAAATAAGGCAAGTTACTACAACAGTTGTTTGTAAAGTCTTAAAGAACCAGTTAAGATTAATTCTGAAGGTTTCTGTCTTTTTTAATTTAATGTATTTGCTTTTAAGACCTTGTATCGCAGATAATAGTATCTCAGGCATGTTCAGACCTGTGCTTAGCGCTGTCCACTTGTGATCAGATCTCTCAGGATGGATGTTAATACCAGGTCTGTACGGGGTCATGGACAGTAGAGATCAGTACTCACCCGAAACTGAAAGGACACCGGACTGATTTCCTTGAAGCTCTCATCCCCCTCGTAGATAGAGCGAAGAGCCTCCAGCTCCATCTGTGATCCAATAAGAGGGACGGTGACAGATTGACATATGCAGTTCACGTGTAGTTACCCTGCACCAAACACCATTCAGAAATACGAACTAAACAAATTGAATTACAACCGGTAAAAGCTGAGGACTACACAGAATAGAAACAAAACCTTACACATGTGCACGAGGACGTATTTTTTAATTCGTCATATGTTATCTCTTAAGACATCACATCGTTTACGTTAAATTCAAACCACAACTTGCTAAAGCCTCTTGCTGCAGTGCATGGAAGGAAGATGGACTCGTTGAATCGCCGATATATTAGTGTCATGTTGTTAGCTTAATGTTTTATAGGAGTCAGGGAACTGGCAGATAAATGACAACATTAACAAATGCATTGACTTAACCTTACTGTGACTTACATACGTAGCTACTGTTAAACGCACTTAAAATGAATGGAGTTTGGCGTGACATGTTCAGTTTCGAACACCGCACTTCAGAGCTCGACAAGCGGCCAAACACACACTCGACACCCTGATCCGAACATGTTTCCAGCCCAACAAAGGTCTCACACATCCGGCAACATCCCACGCGGTCAGCTGTTTGGCTGCACACGGAGCAGAAACAGCCGGACACCGAGACAACCAGCCTCGAGCGCTGCGACTCATGCTAGTGACGTGTAGCCGCTGTTAGCCGCTAACGGCTAACAACAGTTTCTTACAGTAGCATCCTTGCAGTCTTACCTCCTGATCCTCGTTAGCTGTCATGGCTCTGCCTCTGCGGGACTCGGTCTCTCGCTCAGAGCTGCTGACTCGGATCGGCCTCGGTTAACAGCCCGTGTCTGCCATCACAACTTTTACTACGTTCATGTTCCCACAACTTCCCAGACCCGGCGCAGCCACCACGCGACAACACGCATGCGCAGTTGGACCCTCTGAGTCAACTTTGAACCGCATCATTCGCGGATGTGAGGCTACGTCACTCAAATAAATGTATTACAGTTTAATAGGAGCTATATATATATTTATTTTATATATACTATACTAGCCATGGATTTTATTATTTGTATTATTTTTCCTGTGAGGCACTTTATAACTTTGTGCTATACAAATACACTTATTATTATTATTATTATTATTATTATTATTATTGTGGAAAAGATTCATAGAAAAGTATTGTTACATTTTGGTATTTCATCAATTTAATCATCTTAGCCCTGGTTGAGGTTATTGTTAGTTCATTTTTATACCTAAACTATATCACATAATTCAACTAGTGTTAAGTTATTTTATCAACAACTCATATGTGTGCGCACACAGATTAAATCTAAAAGTAGATTATAACCGGAGACTGAATATTGACGTGGTATTATGATCTAAATCTTTTCCACACTTTAAAGTATGTACCTATGTAGCAGAGAACACATTCACTTATTTTTCTTATAACACATTATACGTTACATTTTGTCAAATAGACAAACTTATCATTATAAAAACCCAGTGGTGTGATTAGTGTAAATTATTTGTCTTACTGCTGAATGAAAGGGCCTTTTTATGTGTCCTGTAACAACTTGGGTCAACGATAAAAGTCCGAATTCTCTTGTGAAAAGCAGCAAAATGACCTCACTCTGGTGGTTTTCATTATTTATAGATAGTAATGTGGAGCAACGCACAAACACTAGATGCATGTTTATGCCCATAAAACTCTGCATACCACAGCCTTTTTAGTCTATAAACATTATTATCGAGAAAGTAAATTGTGAACTTCTTGTCTCTTATACTAATGTGTGATAGAACCTAGTATTACACATTTTCTCTCCTCCCCACAGTGATGCCATGGGACCGCCAGTCTCAAAAGACGAGGAGGCTGGAGAGAGAGACACAGAGGGAGGAGGAGGAGGAGGAGAAAAGGGGGACCTGGATAAAGGAACAGTAGGAAGTCCCTGTTTGTTCATGCTAGTTACATTTTCAGTAGCTCCTGTGGAAAGAGTACTGTAGTCACGTGACTGAGGTGTGTGTTTGTCTTCACACTCTGCTGCTAAAAAACAACTGTTTCCTCAAGGCTCTTTCACAACAAGGTGTCATACTGCGGCATGTTTTCACACATCAAAGTAAATATATTGAGCACAGTGCCTGTGGATAATATCATTCCACTACAGGAAACATATTTATTTCATAAGCTCAAGAATGTGTCACAGTAAGTTCTTCTTATGTTGTTTCTTTCATCCAGGACAGTTGAGCCTGTGGGACCTGGAGACATGCAGCATCCTGTCCGTGCTCTCACTGGATGCAAATGTCAGTTGCGTGAAGCAGCTTCATGGGCGTAAGGTTTCTGTCCTCCTCAGCCTCCACCTCATCAGCGTCAGGTCGACATCTGGAACTGTCAGCTCAGCGTCTCGTGTCTCCAAGGACGGAGACCTGTTTGGAGAGTCCAGCAGTAGTGAGGAAGAAGGGGAGGATTCATAGGACACACTTTACAGTGAAGGACAGAATGTGGAATATTTCACACTATACTACATAAACTGAGATCTATTATTTTGCAGTGACGAGTGTAATTAGTACTACTTTTAAGACGAACACAGTTAAGAGGCGTTTGGACAGTAGGACATTAACACCTTACTAGACCATATGAAAACATTAAAACCGTTGGAGAATGCATTCAGTATAATAACATACCTATTTTACACCACAATTAGCAGGTATACACAGGTAAGATACCCCAGTGAGTATTTTTTGTCGTCTCGAACGTGCCAAAAATTAACAAATTGTAGATCAATGTGTCAGAAGTGGGAAAATACACACAACAGAAGAAAGCACCCTGGAGACCAGTGACAAGATATGGTGGTTACACTTTTATATCTTTTACTTCAGTGTTCAGTCCCTTTCAAACTAAAAGGCGACTAAAAGATTTTAGATTGAAAAAACACAGAATCACGAAAAGTCATTATATCATGCTTGTGTATGTTTCTTCATAGTTTCAAATATATGTTATTGAATAGTTGTGGAGATATTTCACTCTTGGCTCAGGTGATCAATGACTGACTCTGGTAGCTGCTAACGTGGCTAGAAAACACATTGTCTAATGACACAGCACTGTATTGATGCAGCCTGTAGAGAAACCTTGTCGGCCTCACACTGAAGAAAACAGAGCAGGTACCTGAATGACAATGCTTTGTTTTAATGAATATAAAAAGAAATGTACACAATAGTGATAGTGAACCAGTGAAAACGTAAAGTTCACAAACATGACCTTCTATTCCAGTGTCCCATCAACAATCATCTCAATTAAATATCAATCTCTTACATATTACATGTGAAAGTTATTCTCTAGACTCCATTATCATATAAAGACACGCAGATTCCAAACAATTGAGTATAATTAAGAAAGTTAAAATAAAGAAATCACAATTTGTTTGGCCAGAAGATAACAATAAAATAATGATCATTAACAGGGATACCTTATATTTTATTAGGACCTCGACCAAAATGAAAGGGATACTAAAACAAACGAGTCAAAATAAAAAAATTTAAGTCCCACAAAAAACAAAACACTTGAGGATGTTGGCAGCTTCAAGCTAATGATTCTTGGAGCAGCTGGACATCCTACGGACAACAGCACAGTTATTGCCAGCGGAAACAATCAGTGATGTAACAGCACAAGTTCAATCACAACTGGTCCTTGATTCATGATAAGCGCTGCTACTAATTGTGTTCGATTGTGCTCTTACAACATCACAAGTACTGTTTTCAACTACGACCAACAGTTCTAACCCTCAACCTGAGGACGTCTTCAAGATGAAAGTCACTACCTGGACCTGCGGTCTTTTCTGTTCTTGTCTAAGCTTTTGTCCATTGTCTTTTCATTGTCCCCTCTGCATTTGGGGCAGTACCATTTGCCCTTGGGCTTGTAGGTCAGCCCCACACAGGAGAAGTGGAACCACTCGATGGGGCACTGGTCATTGTCGCAGCCGATCATCTCGCCATAAGACACCTGCTCACAGAGACAGTAGGTGGGCTCATTAGGGTCAATGGCGAATTCGACCGGCGAGGCGTCCCGGTCCTGTTTGGACTTGCGCTTCTTCTTCTTTGCAGACTTGGACTTCTTCTCACGGGGAGGAGGGACGGACAGCTCCTCCGAGGGGTCGTCCACCAAAGAGCCGTTGGCCGATGGGTGGCTCGAGTCACGGCTCTCGCTGTTGCGCTGGCGTCGCGGGCGCCGGGTCGAGGTACGCTCAGGCGCTGGAGGCTCTTGGACACTGGAACGCCGTTCCGTGGTGAGCCGCTCAGCCTCGCTGGGCTCCTGGAAGGACATGGAATGGGAGTCCATCTGGCGGGAGCGGTTCTCCACCAGCTCAGTCATCTGGGTCACCACATGGATTTTCTCGTCCCCCAGCTCCTGGCTGATGATGAGCGCACGCTGCAGCTGGATCTGCAGGCGCTTTCTCTGAGCCGCATCCTGCTCCCCTTTGTACTTCTCAAACACTTCATCCACCTCCTTCAGCACCTCTGCAAAGTACAGGATACAAAGACAAATGAATGCAACTGAGTGTAAAATCTGTCATTTCATTAATCAGTCTCTGCCGTGGTTTTTCTCATTAATATTTGGAAAACTTTTGTAAATCCGTCAAAAATCTAAATGCATTCTCTACTACAACAGAATAATTTCAACATAGCCATTTAATTTTTTAATTCCAATACTGATAAAAACTTTACAATAAAAGAGATGGTTGTGTGCATGGTTGTTGTCCTGCATCAGCCTCAGAGCATCTGGTTTAATCTGACACGTCCTGAGTCCTATGTTGTGGGTTGAATTTCTCCTAAACAATCATTACATTATTATTGGGAATTTTTACTCTACAACGGCCTCAGTTCGTTGTGTGGTGGATTTAACAAGATGTTGGAAACTTTCCTCTGATATTCTGCTCCATGTTTGTTAGCTGCACATTCCTGCTGCCAATCTCCTGATCTACCACATCTCAGAGGTTCTACTGGATTCACAGCTGGTGGCTGTGGGCGTCATTGGAAGAGAAAGGGGAGAATGATAGCTAAGCTGTCTTTTCTTCCGGAGAACCAGTCCCACCCCTCTGCAGGACACCATCACAGCACTGGGCAGCTCCTTCAGCGGCCGACTGATCCACCCAAAGTGTCTGAAGGAGAGGTATCACAGGTCGTTCCTTCCTGCAGCTGTAAGACTGTACAACAAGCTCTTCTCCCACACACACCAATTATGGGACTGCACTGTAAACTCAAGTTCAACTCATCTAACATTGCAATTATTCATTTCTGTCTGTGCGCACCAACATCTCATGTGCAATATGTTGCACAGTACATACAATCGGTTACTTCTATTCATCTTATTTTCACTGTGATGTTTTTACCATTTTCTTTTCACTTTTTATTTTGCTTGTTCATTTCCCATTATTGTCATATTACTGCTTTCATGTGTTCACGTTTTTATGTGCCACAGCTCCGCGTGCATCGACATCAACACTAACTTGTTTCCCACCACCAGCCAACTGTCATTTCTCTTATATTTACTCTTCTTGCTTTGGTGTCAAAGCACTTTGTAAACTCTATTTTTTTTAAAAGTGACATACATTATTATCTCCCCATTGTTACTTCTGCTTATGTTTATTTTCACACTGCTCTCTTTGCTGCTGCAGCACAGCAAATGTCCCCGTTGGGGGACTAATAAGGGATTGTCTCACCTTGTCTTGTGTTGGGCTCACAGGCGAGTCGCATCGACATGCATGTGCAGAGGTGTTTTATAATAAAGTGCCCTCTTGCGTGCATGTGTTTTTTTGCGCGGACATTTTAAACTTAAGTTGAGGTGGGGCAGGAGTTAAGACATGTCGGAGGAGGGCTGAGCTGCAGCGAGTTCCTCGATACAGGAAGTGGCGTCAGTGTGGCGTAAAGAAGGGGGTTGCCTTG